CAGGTTTTAGTACACCCGAAAGACAAAGTTGAGAAGCAAAAAAAGGGCTAGAGTGGTGTGCAAAATTCCATGCAGCCAATGCGAAAAGGTATATATCGGTGAAACAGGAATTGGACAGCTGGGAACCAGGATCACAGAACACAGAAAGGAAGCAGAAAAGAGCTTTCTGACAAAAATTTCACAAGATCCACACGCAGAGCTTCTACCAATGAGCACCATAAATCAGCCACAACAGACCACGTCTGTCAGAACAATCATAATATGAATTGGGAAGCAAGTGAAATAGTTGAGCAGGAAAGCGACAATTTTAAGCGATGGATCAATGAAAGCATATGTGTTAGATCGAACACTCCTACTATGAACAGAGACGAGGGAGCCTATCAGCTTTCTCCCATATGGACACAAGTGATCTCCATCCCCAAACCAGGGGGGGGGAGGGGGCGTCTACAGAGTGACTTTGGGCGTTTATCGCAATAATTAACACCTTTAGAAGCCTATTTAAGGCTTCTGACACTTTTAATGTTTTCCAAGTTTTGATAAAGATGGCTGACAGTCATCGAAACTGTCAGCATCATTAAGATGTTAAGGACGGTGCCCACTTTTGTTACTGCGCACGTTTTCTGCGCATGCCAAGGTAGTCGCGCGCGAGGCGAAAGAAATGCGCAACACGCAGGACACGCGAACTGGTTTTGTCTCCTGTAAGTCTGGGAGGTTCTAGTTATTTCTTGCCGAAGAGATGCGTCGTGTTTCAACAGATGGAAAATAATTTGTATTTACCTTGTCAGTTCTTTGAAAACCGAAAAAGTATGCGCCTGTTGCTATTTCTGCCGTATGATCGATCTGACCGAACATTTTATAGTCAAACAAAAGTCAATTCAAAAATATCAAACGTTATTGCTTCGAGATGTTACGCTTGGAGCTTGGGTATTAAAAAATCCCTTAACAGGCAAGAATCAGTAAATCAGAGGGAAAATAGCTCTAAGTCCTCCGCTTAATCGAGAAACTGAAAGCTTGCCTTTCACTCGTGTCCTTGGCGTTTTATCGGCTAATCGGCTATAAACACGTTCCTGAATATTTCTTTAATTTTGTAAGATTTTATGTAATTATTCACCAGAAGATAGATTTAAAGCGTTCGAGTATATACAGATACTTTTGTTGAGAGTCCGAGGCTTTTATTTGTCGAACAAACAAGAAAAAAGCTATCACAAGATTGCTTAGATTGCTGAAATCGCACCTTCACAAATAGTTGCGGACCGCAAAGGAAACGCTTTCATCGTGAAAAAAATCGTAAAAAATTGTTGTGCTTTTTACTATTAGCATTGTTATTTAAGAGCGACTTTCTGTAAATACCACGGATAGGTGTGCAAGATGGAAAAATCGCAATCCCCTAAACTTTGTCATAACAAAGCCCTTTGGAAACTATTTTAGAAAATACAAGACTCAGTTCGTTTGACTTAATATTTTCCAAAATAATAATTTTTTTTAATTTTCACCTTCGAGAGGCCTTCAAACCACCGAAAAATGTGCTTGATACCCTCGCTTCTTGAATGGAAACGGAAACTAATACCATGACTTTTCTCATATAAAACAATTTTATAATCCTTCCTTTCTACCTAAACGTTGTTACAATTTCAAAAGATTTCAATCTGATTTTTAATATTTTTTCAAAATTACCCTCTAAATCAGCATTATCGCGACCATCAATTTCGCCAATTTTCAACAGCGAAAATCCCTTCCTGGTACATGGCTTTCATTAGAAAAATGGTATTCCAGAGAAAGAGCAATGCTTCCCCTATCAATCTGTGAAATAAAATTCTGGGGCAATTCAAAATGCGAGTTTTTACAACTGGAAACATTTACGGTACTTGCGTGATTTACGACCTCTGAACTTGCAGTTGTGTTGATGAATACAAGCGAGAACTTCGACAGCACTTGAAACTCTTTTTCTTTTCCGCCAGTTTAAACACCAAAAACGATTTTAGATTTCACAGTGGTAAATTGTGAAAAGGAAAAGCAATTTTATTGTGCGAAAATGTGCTATGAACTTCTTGACTACAACACTTCCCTCACGTGCGTATTTGTTTACTTTTGCCGTTACATATAATTATGTACAAAACGGCTAATAGTGTCGGTAGCTATTCTTTCAAATACTCTCATTTCTCATGAACCAAATCGTTATAGCTATAAAAAAGGAAAACATTTTAACCTACCTCACATTATTTGACAACAAACCCGAATCCTTTACCCTTTACTGCCTTTAGCGAAACGAGATTGCGTGACAAAGAACTTTGAGACCAAGGTTATACCGCGGAGACAGATACCATTCCGAAAAAGAAACTCACCCGGCACCTTCTGTAGCCATAAAAGCGAAACATGTAAATAATCAAAATCCTTAGTTTCACTGACTTATCCGCTAGAGCGATTATGAAAACGTAAGACTAAACAAAATATTTTCCACAAGAGACTATGGAGAGGTGGGCCTTTGAAAGTCTCTTACTGT